GTCATCTTTGAAGGGGATAAGATTTTCCAGGCAGAACTGGAGCTCTGGGGGGTAAGATCCTGTTTGCTTTGATTTCCCTGTTCCAGCAGTCTGCATGGGGCTGGGCTGCATTTCTGTGAGGCAGCCTGAGGTTTTCGTCCTGGGCTGGGTTGCCCAGATACAGGCATTTATGGCCATCTCTGCTGGGAAATGCCTTAGGGTTGTGAGGAGGCTGAGGTGGCTGCACTGATTGATCCGGGGCTAAGGTCAGAGCTGGAGGTCACTGCCAGCCCTATAGGTGTTCTGGTGTTCTGGGTTTGGTCCCAGGCTGCTTCAAATGTTCTTTGGCCCAGCAGGTCCCTGTCTCCTGCACAATCCTGCTGTGAGTTGCAGGCAGGCCACGGGCTGAGCTGATTTTTCAGCTGCTTGCTGGCTGGGGAGCAGCAGTGAGGCTCAGGAATTTGCATGTGGATTTCTTGTCTGTATTTCTGGTGCGTGCTGCCTGTGCCTGCAGGCAGCAGAGGGCTGGCAGGTGTGGGTATGGCTGTGTCTCAGCACAGCTCGCTGCTGGGAGAGGCTGTGCCGCAGCTGCCTGTGTGGCTGAGGCAAGCTGAGCTCCCTGAGCTCTGCAGCAGCGCTGTGGTGCTGCTGAGACATGACAAGGTGAAGCTCAGCTCAGCTGCAGCCCAAGCTTCTCCTGGCACAGCAGGACATTTCTCCTCTGGCAGGGCTTTTCCAGTAAGGGGAAAGAAGGCTGGGCAGTGCTGCCTGCCCTCCCCTGCCCGGCTCACTCTGCCTTTCCCTCTCTCTAGACCATTGACGTAGAGAAGAGCTTTGTGAGCATGGTCCCAGCCAAGGTGGAGATCACGCTTTGCAAAGCCAGCCCTGGCTCCTGGGCCAGGCTGGAGCTCCCCCAGAGCAAGTTGCAGTCCTGTGGTGAGCAAGAGAAGGAAGCTGCAAACACAGAGCAGCCTGGGGCTGTGCAGAATGAGGACTCTGATGACAGCTTGAGCTGGTCCGAGGAAGAAGATGAAGAGCTGGAGCTGGGAACACCGGAGATGATAACACCGAGTAACTGATGGTCAAATGCTTCAGCAGCTGAGCACTGCTGGCTCCTGAGCTGCTGGGCACCTTGGCACCAGCTCCAGAACAGCAGACCTAGTCCAGAGTCGTGTGCAGGCTCCATCATGGCCTTTCTCCGGGTCAGAAGGGACAATTAATAAACACCCAGAGCAAAGGTTGTCCTCTGAAATCCGCGACGGGTGCTTAAGAAACATCAGCGGGCCAAACCCTGCCTTCTGTCACTTCCTCCTGTGTGCCTGGCTGGGGCAGGACGACAGGAGTGCCCGCACCTTCGGTGTTCCTGGGGACTGAGTGTTCAGGGCCCTGCATCCTCCCTGACCCTGGCATTTCTGGGGCTGGACACAGCCTTCCCTGCCGCTTCTGAGGGTGCTGAGCCCCGGGCTGAGCTGAGTGTAAGCTCCTGCCCTCTCTCTCGCCCGGCGCTGGGGAAGCCGGGCCCTGTAGGTCCCTGGGAGATGTGGTGACCGCGGACACGGGAATGCCACCACCGCCGGCAGTTCCAGCGGAGCCGTGGCCTCCTGTGCCAAGCCCCTCGGGGCGGTGAGAGCGCCCGGGGGAGCAGCGGGCGATGCCGAAGGCGGGCCGGGCCAGGCGGGGCTGCGCTGGGAACGGGGGCGGAGGGCGGCGTGCACCGGAGCGTTCACCCGTGTGAAAAACCCAGCAATCTTCTGCCACGGAGCCTTTTAATTGGACAGTCTTATGCAGAGAAAGCAAAAGCAATCACTCAGTTTGGCTCTTCTTTCCTTTTGCTAGTGTTATCTTTATTAGGGATATATTTGTCCTTATTAAAGATACATGTTACATGTTTGTGGCTGTGCACACAGACACGCGTGCGTATTTCTGCTCATGGCTACTGAAGTGACTCTACTGAGAGACCATCCAAATCCAGACCAACCACCCCTCGCTCGAGATCTATTCGGACAACGCATAGTTACAAAATGACGCATTTAGCATCAGCGGGATCGTAGCGGGGCGGACGGCGGGGCTGTATCGGTGCAGTACAGCGCGGCTGCAGCCCGGGGCCGGGCCCGAGGGGATGCTCCGCTCCGTTCCGCTCCGTTCCGCTCCGTTCC